TAAAACCCAGCTGAAGTAAAATTCGTTTAATATAAGCTCATTTTTACTTCATTCAATAAACTCCTTCACATATTTTTCTTATTTTTTTCACTTACTTCGTTCGCTCCAGGGTTACTCCACCAAATGTTAAAAAACAATTCTCCAAATTTTGGGGGGCGGCCCTGGTAATCTTGCCACCTTATAATCTTGCATGATTCGAACCAGATTCATTAAATAATTGATGAATTTTTAGAAAAATTTAAAAAAAAACTTTTTTAATCTTTAATAAGAGTTAGTTTAACATTCATGTAGTATACAAAAATCTGAAGAAGAAAAAAATCTTACATAAATGTTTTCAAACTTATTGGTTACGAAACATGTGAATATTTTCAAATAGTGGAGTCCCATTTTTGTTGCTTCTCTTCTAATAACTTCAATATTGTCTGTCTCACTATGCAAACAACTCTGGTGGGGCATAGGAGAAATTTTTTTTTATTCCGGAATCTTGATTTCCTTTAAAATGGTGGGGATGACAATTTTTCGGAAAAATGATAAAAACGTTGTTTGGTAGGCCAAAATTTTACTGGAAAAATTGGATCAATTTTCTCGTGTCAATGTTTGGTTGTTGGTTTAATATTACTAGGAATGTGTAATAAATTTACAATAATACCCTCAATTTTGAATTTTTTACCGTTTATTTGTCCAGGTCTCTATCTCTCTCTCTCAATCGATTTTCAGAGTCGTTATTAGCTTGGGTGTCTACATTTCCTCTCATCTGTCTCGCTCTTTCACCGGAACATAGTTATCCATCTCTCTCTGTCAACAACTGCTTTCGTTTGTAGTTGGCGTGTATGTTCTATGAACCATAACGACATTCACAAAAACATTAACTACAGATCTGCTCAAAATTGAACAGTAAGTAGAGAAAATCAAAGAAAACTCATTAAAAATACATTCTGGTCTATGGTAAGGTTTGCTTGCTATTCCCTGATAAACTCAGACGACGTCATCCTCAAGAAGAGCAACCCACGTTGTTCATCAGATTTGACACTGCCAGCTATAGCCCACGATGCAACAAGGGTAGAAGAGCAACAAAAATTATGTAAAATTTATCCAAAAAACCAGATTCCTGAAAAACCACATAATTTGTGGTATTTGTTCATGGGTTTTGGGTTACTAATTTGCACTGCGGGCCGTATCCTGGGAAATTGTCGAATGAAGGGGAATATTTTTTATTTCCTCCACCAAACATGGATTACTTACAATCCCTATTAAGCTTTTCCAGGATTCTCACAAAAACACTCCTACCAAACAGGCCCTAGATGATTTAGGCTTATGGAAAACTCACCATCCAAACCGGCTTCTTCTTCTCCATATCTTACAATTTCATCTTTTGATGATGTCCCTCGACAGATCAAGATCCTCTATACTTTTTTTTAACTATAGGGATCTTAACACTTAAAACTAATTTCATTGTGTGAAAAAATAATAACAGATATAGTTTACTGAGTTTAAACCGTTACAATTTTAACTAAACCTCTTGCAATTCATTCATAAACTCTAGCGTTTTCTCAAAATTTTGGTCAGCAGATTTTGGAGAACTTACAAAAAAAGAGAGTTTGTATGGAGATTGAAGAGAGGTACTATTATTTTCTAATGAGAGGAATTTCGATGGATACGTAACATGAGATAAGCTTTATCATGTAACATGAAAAAAACATTCTCTTAGAAAAATATTTTTCTTATTTCGTTAGAGATAGCTATCTCATTTTATACACTCATCGAATTTTGTGCCAAGCTTTGCCATAAATGCACGAGTGCTAATTGGTTAATGTATGTTTTTTTTTGTTTGGATATTACATGGAATCGAACAGCAAACCTAACACCCCCTAAACACACCCAAGACCACTAGGCTATCCCTAGTGGTGCGTTAATGTATGTTTCTTTATGTTCTTTAAAACACGATTGGTTTATGTTATACTAACCATATGTTTGTTTATTAATTGACATTCCACCATTGACCCTGTTTTGTTCTTCCTCCTTTTTATTACATTTTGTAGTTTGTAGTATGTACCATTTCAAATAAAGGACATTCGTAGAGCATTCGTGCCATCATTTTCTATAATTAACTAAGCAGACTCTGGGATTTCATTCACAGTTCACTTTACCTTATTCATTGTTCTTTTTGTTAGAAAAAAAATAAATAAAAAATACACTTTTTTGGGTTACCTTTTATTTTAAATCTAGCTCTCTTTTGGTTGATGAGTTATTTTTTAATTAAAAAGACAAAAAATAAAACAAGTAAAAAGGATAAGTAATTCGATTCCAACATTTTAAGGAATGAGACACTGGTTTTTTTTTTGTTGGGAGACTATCTTTTCGATTATCCCATAAATTTTCTATATACTAATTCAGAGTTCGGGACAGATTTATAATTAAAATTTTAAATTTCTCTCAAAAATAATAATGTGAAAAATCGAATACATATTCTCACACTTACCTGTTCAATTCCTATATTCAATCGAATTACCATCATTTAATGGAGATTGGTATTTAAACACACGTTCATGTGAAGGAAATTGTTGCTTCCGGGGTGCTTTCTCTCTCTCTTTTCTTTTCTTCTGTTTTCCTTTCATATGTACAAAATAAAGCGTAAAGCTGATTTTCTTGCTTGGCTTTACTCTGCAATTTGCAACTGCTTTCCTAGGAAATAACGAAGTCATAATTATCCTACAATAGAAAGACCCATACATATGATAATAGCAAATGATACAAAGCATATTAAAACATTACGAGACCCTTGACCTCTTTTGCCATGAAACTTCACAACCTAGACCGAATAAACGGTAAATTATACATAATTAGCTATTACCAAAAAAGTCTTTTGAGATTTATAAGTGATAAGACTAATTTTTTTTGGTAATTCTTCATTTAATAAGTCATACGTAAGTATTATTTTAAGTTTTTAATGAGACTTATGGTAATGTTCTAATCTTAAGATAGGACAATTTTTTTCTCTTTTAGATTTCAAACCCCCCAAAAAGAAATTGATGATGCGAAAGTTATTCAATTTGTCTACCTACAATTTAGAAATTTTATACCAATGTAAGTTATATTTTTAATTGTGTCCATTGATTTCACTTATATCTAAGGGCTCTTAATTTTTTAGTAATGTAAATCATTGGATACAAGTGAATCAATGGTCAAGATTGAGTGTAAGTCTTTTAACTCTTACACCGATATAAAAATATCTTTTCCATATATATATATATTGGGGCAAGATATTCTTACACCGGTGTAAGAGTTAGAAGTCTTACACTCAATTTTGACCATTGATCCACTTGTATCCAATGACTCACATTACTAAAAAATTAGCACCCTTAGATATAAGTGAAATTAACGGACAAGATTGAGAGTGTAACTTACACTGATGTAAAATGATCCTGACCTATATATATATATGTGTGTGTGTTCTCGGATATCGTCCCATGTAATTTAATGAAATGATAAAAAATAATCACAAGAGATTATTTGAACTGAGATGTAAACAGTCAACAATATAAACAAAGTAACACTTGAATTACTTTCAATTTATGGTCAAGTATGTTTAAAATTATGAGAAATTTCGAAGCAAGTATTTTGTTAACTTTAAATTTATAATACTTACATGTTTTTTTAAGTTGCTAAAAGCTTATAGATTGAAATATAAAGTTGTTAATTGCTATAACAGAACTGACATTAATATAAAAAAATGCAACTTTAGTCACACCCACTTACCTATCTGTTTTATTCTTTGAACAAATATCTTGAAAAGTATAGCTGTGAGATTAATTTCTTGAATCAGAGGTAACAGTTAAAATAAAACCTTTTCCTAAAGTGACAATCTGAGAATTCAAACTATGGACATTTTTATTGCTACAAGTACTTTTGAGTGTTCAATAAACCTACTTTACCAAAATGATGATCTTGTTGAAACAGTAGTAATATAAAGGAAAATGATATTTACACAAACAAACTCCAATACAAGTCATAACACAATACCTTAATTCTACTTTTTTTCCTTAACGGTCCATGTGAGTCCATATAAAAGTCTTGCAAGGAGTATACCATGATAAAGTCTATCCAAGGATCATTGTTCGTAATATAAATTTACTTTTATTGTTAGAGAATCCAAAACCAGCTTTGGTAAATGGTATGTCCACATTTATTTCCCTGTGATTCAAATAAATTGTGCATTCTTAGATCTAAATGTACAGTGAACATCATATGCGAAGGTACCAATCACTCCAGTTTAAACATGATAATCCTGAAGCCACAAAAGGTACCAACCCATTATTGTTGGATATAATAATAATATAATTCAATAATATACTCATATACAAGCCCAGTGGCTAAATATATGATTATTTAGGTCTATATGGGCTAGAACCTAATAACTTGTATTATCTCTAGTATTTCCTAAGTTATAGGTAATACTACTAAGCATTCCAAATTTGATATCTTTTGGTGTAATACTTCAAGTACCTCAAAATCATTATCTCTCACGAACTCATTATCTCCAACAATTATAAGCTCGAGCAGTTTGAACAAAAAAAACAAAAAAAGAAGATCCATTTCATTAGCCATCAAATATATCACATTACATACACAGAAATTTGTAAGACTTCCAAATACAGCGAACTGATACATTTACTCATTAGGCACTAGATTGTGGCTAAGGTATACCACACCCCACTTGAGAAAACATGCAGGGGTCAGTATCAGTAATAAACAGAAAGAACAAAAAAAATACATGAGAACAATAGCGGAGATAGGCACATTGATGCTAAGTGCTAAGAACACAAGCCTAGAGAACTGTCAAAGACCAAGACCCAATCCTGCTTCCACCTTCAAGCATCTATAGATAAGGTAAAATAATCCATTCAGTTATCTAACACACATCTCATTTGCTTTAATTCTCTGCAATTAACAAAGCCGATGATGACTGCTAGTAGTGTAAATCATCTAGACAAAATTGTTGGCCACGATCAAAATAACCCAACACGAAGGCTTCATGTTTTGTACAAAATCCTGCTGCGAGCATGTTAAGCCAAATTCACTCATTCATGACATAAGTTGGCTGAAGTTCATCAAAGAGCATCTTTAGTTAGGATTGTTGAAGAACTAAAGTTAGCTCTTGGGCAGACTTGGCCAGTAAGCCACCCCTCCTGCAACAAAAAACACCAAGTGAAAAGAGAAACCATGACTCTAGATTGCCGTATCTAGATGTAAATGAAATATCAGAGTGATACTTAGATGGTATTTAAAGAATTGTTGATGTAAAGAACCAATTCAACGCAAGAGCTTAAGCCATTAGACATTAATGATTTTTATACTTCTCTAACACGCCCCCTTACACGAGAGTTCACTGGACTTGAAGGGTGGACAATGCACATTCACCTATCCGTTCTAAGAAACTCCACAAGACTCAATTAATTATTAATTAAATGAGGGCGGTATGGATTGAACCCATAACACCGAGGCTCTGATACTGTATAAAGAACCAATTCAACCCAAAAGCTTAAGCCTTTATATGGTATCAGAACCTCGGTGTCACGAGTTTGATCTTTACCGCCCTCCATTTAATTAATAATTAATTAAGTCTTGTGGAATTTCTTAGTGTTGAGATATATAAAATCATTAATGTAACCTCTCTCAACAGCTTAAGCTTTTGGGTTGAATTGGTTCTTTACATGGTATCAGAGCTTCGTGTCCCGGGTTCGATACTCGTTGCCCCCCACTTTCTCTTGTGGACTTTCTTAGCACAGGTAGGCTGGGCCTGTTGCATCTTCCACTCTTCAAGCCCAATGGGCTCTTGTGTGAGGGAGCGTGTTGAGATATATAGTCCCACTCCCACATTGGTTGTATGAGCAACTAATGTGGAGTTTATAAGGCCTTGAGCACTCCCACCCTTAGAGCTAGCTTTTGGGGTGGTGTATCCCAAGGTTCTTATCAAGGCATGGGTAGTTGGACTTGTTCATTGTCCACCCTTCAAGCCCAGTGAACTCTCGTTTGAGGGGGCATATTAGAGAAGTATAAAATCATTAATGTAGCCTCATTTAACATTAATGATTTTTATACTTCTCTAACAGTTAAGTATCAGATTGACGCTTAAAATCAGAGGCAGTTCTAACGGAAACAAGAATAATGTGCCAAAATTGAATGCGAAGTTTTTAACATACCTTTTTACTATAGGAATATATAGTTGCATACACAAATAACCTTATTTTTTAAAGGTATTCAATTCTTACCAAAAAGGACATGTTCTAAATACTGAAATAGAGACAGGGAAGGACTGTCTTTATTTTCTATTTTAAAACCATCAGTGTGCAACATTAATTTCAATGTACATATATGATGGCAACACTAAAGACTACATGATTACCGTGTTAATATCAGAAGAATCATTTGGATATTTCGCAGTTGCATAAAGCATTGGTTGCAGCATTCCCGCCTGTTCTCAAGATTTCATATAAATTAGGTTCAATCACATAAACTTCATGAGACAGTAAAAGTCATATTAGGTGAAGATGGAGGGCACCTTTGCTCGGCATGTAGATCAACCCCGACAGAGGGAGGTGCTGAAATGGTTGAACGTATTGTTGGACCAAAAACTGCTACAAGCTTTAACAGCATATCCAATGATACCTTCACATGTCTGCACAGTAAGAACAGAGTAATTGTCTCCACTTAAACACTTTGTCATTATTCAACAAAGGCCACCATCACTAAAAACATGCATGAGACTTCAAGCTCCTGTTGTGAGGTCACAGCCTACAAACTAGAAGCCACATGCTAGATGAGGCCAAATATGAGGTCCCACATATTTCAACTCCCAGCATGAATATTCCTACCACTATATTAATAAAGAATTACCTTTCTATCTTGCTATCAAGCAAACCTTTGAGCACAGGAAGTAAGCAAGAAAATAAATCTAAGGTGAGAATCTCCATCTTCTCAACAAGGACACTGATAACATCAGCTTGAACCTGCATCCAGATGAAACTAATTTCAGGACTATACATGCAATAACAAAGCCATAAATAATTAGTCAGAAGCATATAATATAGAACTAGCAAAGAGCCAACAAGTGACACATAGTCACTTAAAAAAAATACGCACAGATAGATCAGGCAGCTTTATCATAGCACTGATGGCACCTTTTCTATCATTGCGCTCCCAAAAATCTCGCACTACCTACAAATGCACATTTAGAACCAGTTAGTGAACCGAAAGTGTCCAGTGTTTATCATTTTCTTTCTATGTTCCTTTTAAGAAAACAAAAAGATGCACCTTTACACATCAGCATATAACCAGAGTTATAAGTTTCATGGCTAAAATTAATACAGTCCAGAATAATGATTCTAATAATTAATAGATCCCTAGTCTCGAAGCAAATGATATTAATATCAATTTACCTGTAATTTTGTCAAACGTGAACGGAGATTACTCAATGTTACATCATGATTTTGCATCAAACGTTCAATTATTTTCCCTTCATTTGCAGAGTTTGAATCCCTTCCAGAAACTTGAGGTTCAACTCTCTGACAATATTAAATAAGAGGATAAATTTGAGAAGTTCAACGAACCAAATGCAACAATTTATAAAAAAGTGATTGATTGCATCATGAATCAAAAAAAGCGTGCGTGCATGATTGAGTTTGAAATGCGACATTCTTTCAACACAGAGGATATTCCATTGTTTGTTTGTCATGAACTAACTATCCCAAAAGCTTAACCTATTGGAAGAAAGCACATGAATGATTTTATGCCTAACATGCCTTTTCACGCAAAAGTCCTTTAGGCTTGAAGTATGGACAATGTAAGCTCAGCCTACCTTATGCTGAAATTTAACTTTTATTTAGAAATATAGGGCAACAAAGACTGAACTCTAGACCATATGGTCATAGAAGTTCTAATAACATGTCATGAACCAAATATCTCATAAGTTTAAGCTGTTGGTTAAAAGCAAATGAATAGTTTTATGTCTAACATTTACTATTTCATGCACTTAGAAGAAAAGAGACACCAAAATCCATAGGGAACCAACATCAAACAAATAGTATTAGTAATAACTGTTCAACGGTCCATACTCCCACGGACAAGGAGCAGGTCATGAAGAGGTTCAACAGAAAATATCTGAAAGCTTTTTCCTAAAATTGTGATGCCATATACACTTATAGAGCCCGTTCAGTTTCTTTATTACTTCTTATCTAGGTGTTTCTGATGAGTTATGATTTCAACCAAGAGGATACCAGTAACACAGCGCTTAATCTGCAATTGGACCTAATTACAAAAAGGATCTTTTTAGTTGCCTAAGTTCTTGAGATGATGGGTTGAGTTTTGTGTTTTGTTTTACTTAGTTTTGGGCTTCACATTGTAACAAGGTGGAGGTTTAAGAGGAAAAGTCAGAAGGGCAAGAGAGTGACGTCTGAAGGGCAAGAGAGTGACTCCTTTTCCTTGTATTACACTCGAGGTGAGGAGTATACGTGCTTTTGTCTAATCATATTTACAACATAAACAGAGGTTTGAGATTGGGATATGCAACACAACTATTCTGAGCAACTTCAGTCAATCTACTTTGCCTCACTTTTGTTTCAACATTTACACTCTTCCTATCCTCTTAACATGGTATCCAAGAAGTGCCATCCACCTAAAACCTTAGCCCTAGCCTAGCAGGAAATAATAAGGAAAATAAATTCCTAGCTATCTCAAAGAAGGCTAATCTCTCCATTCCATTCTTCCCTCTTAGTTTATACCTCTCATAACAGTAATTCTTGTTTTGGGTGTACCTTAACCCCTAGGACTTTCCTAACTAATTTGTACTCCTTAATATGCACAATTTCCTTTCTTTTTCACCCAGATCCCTTCCACCAAGATACCTAGGGGACAAAACATAAGCCACAAATATGTATATAAGTCTAGCAGACTATCTCAATAGGATAGCTTCTTTCTTATATCACAAGCTTTTAGCTAAAATTGGAAGCTACAGTGAAGATGTCGGTGTCTGAAATTCCGTAAAGCTTGTCTTTTAACAAGCTAGTTCTAGGAAGTTGGAAGACTTACAGTTTCACATATTGTGTTGGGAATGGGGGGCATATTGTTTTGATCTTCATTTACTGGAATTCTTTCGCTCTTCTCAGATATCGTGGCGGGGATGGGGGATGCATTAGTTTGATCTTCACGCAGAACTTTTTCCCTTTTTTCATATATTGTGGTGAGGGTAGCATTAGTTTGATCTTCACTAATGGGAGTTCTTTCCCTTCTTTCAAACCTTTCAACCAGAGAACGTGTCCTTCCTCGTACAACAGCAACTGCAGAAAGCAGAATCCAAAATATTTAGTTTCCAGTGGCTTTCATAGTGTACAAAACTACATTAATGAGCTATGGAAAACCTTCATTGAGATATTTAACCGGACTAATCTCTTCACAGCAAGGAGAGGATTCATCACCTGAAAGATAATGAAAATGTTTTAATCACGAATGACCATATATTATATTTCCATTTGAATGACCTATTACACATGGCATGGCAGCTTTTTACAAAAGTATAACAAAAATGTCAGCAAGCTTCATGTCAGAATCTCAGCTAAGTGTTGGGCAACAGTTTATTCACTATTTTTCAAAGGAGATTGAAGTCAGAAATAACAAGAACACTCTGTTTTTTGGGTACAATAAGATGCATACCTCACTAAATAGAACTTAAGTAAAATCTTCACAGATTTGGCAAGCGAGGTCCAAATGAGATATTTTAGATATATAATTAATGAATGAGAAACACATGATTAGAACTTAGCTTATTCAAGAAGGTTAAGGTAGCATGTTGCATCAACCAAAAAATAGGGCTGGGGATCATAGTGAAAAGCAGTTATTCAATCAATTAGAAGCCAAATATAGTTCAGTTCGGGACGGTGATGTCAGCCACTAATTTAGCCCATGTTATAACTAAGAAGAGATAAGAGAATAATGGGCAGTTAACTCGTTTTTTGTTGAATTGTAAACATAAACCAGAAGAAGGGAATTGCGAGAATATGATTAAGGGAATATAATCAGCAACGATTTGCATTTGACCCATAACAGAAAAAACTTACGTTTCTCTTGGTCAGAAAATCTGTCTGGAGTTAAAGTCTTTTCAAACTTCTCTGTAACACTCTTGATAGGATGTTTGTCCTCATAAGATTCTTTGACTTCTTTCTGGGATCCAAGCTTCATTTGGAAGTTAGGATATTTTTCACTGTCTGCTTTACTTATAGTATCACAAAAAATTCCAGAATCCCTATCTGCTGAAAACCCGTCAACATCAAATAAGCCAGTAGATGCTCTCCGAACATGAGCTGGCTTAAGTAACATCCCAGGTTTTGTCTTTGAAAAGGTGATAGTTTCTTTTCTAGATCTTGCTGAGTCCTTACTGTTAGGAATGTCCTGAGGTACAATGGTCGGTGCAAAGCAAGACTTTCTACGTGCTTGTTCATTTGGTTTTGCATGAACTCCTGTTGCAGGACTCTGCTTCAACATTTCCTTGAATTCTTCTGGGAGATTAACTTTTGGAGAATTATAAGACCTTGATCTCTGTAAAGCAACAGGATTCCTTCCAGAAGCTTTACATGCAAGAAAAAAAGAAGTATTATCTTGGATACATCATTGGGAAAGTAATCAGAATTACAAATAAACAGAAACGGCAAGATATATATAATCTTTTTCTGCATTCATCATGTCAAGATTCACAACATATTTGCTAGTAAAATTAAATTTTCCGATTTAGTCACTTAAAATAAATTGTTAGTAGATCCTTCACCAAAACAATTCACTGATGCAATTGCAGCATCCTATCTACTAATCAGTTCAAGTTCAGGTATAATATATGGTACAAACTTTATTTCAAAAGCTGAATTCTTTCGGAATTATAACAAAGCCATGTCTAAAATCAAGGGAAGAGAAAAAGGTCAGTGTCTTACAGTCGATATATATATTCTTTATCTCTTTTGATTCATTGTCAGGAGACATACTGCGCAAGCCATAAGTTGGTCCCACGCCAACCTCTACTTTCTCCATTTGGATTCCCTGGACACTAAGCTTCTGCTCTGTGCTTTCATTTTTCTTGGTTTCCAAGCCACCACTATATGGCTCAATAAGCTGATACATTAAAATGACACTCAGAATGATAGCTAACTGAGTATAAAAAATAGTAAATGCATCTCTAAATTCATTAAATGTTGTTCACAGACTAATATGGATGTCAAGTCGTCATTGCAGCTATCAAAAAACCCTCCCACAATTTCACTTACGGCATATGCACTGCAAAAAAGTGGCTTTGCATTTAAGACTAAGCAATTAACTTCATACAGCTAATAACAGCAGCCACATAAGTAGGGATCCACAATCATATTTTTTGAGCTAAATATATTATAATTAACTGTAAAGAACCATCTCAACCCAAAACCTTAAGGTGTTGGGTAAGAGCCTTTTTAAGGCTTTATATTATTCTCTAACACACCCTCTCACGCAAGAGCCCTTTGGGCTTGAAGCGTGAATATTGCACAGGCCCAATTTTTGATTTACCTTCTGTGCTTTTTATTAATTCCACTTGAAAGTGGGGGGCGGTGAGGATCGAACTCGTGACCTTGTGGTCACTAAAGCTTTGATACCATGTAACGAACCAATTCAACCCAAAAGCTTAAGCGTCATGGATACATAGACATTAATGGTTTTATATATATCTCAACATTAACACAGACATCATGTTTTAAATTAAGAAATAAAATATAATAATTAATCTTAGTGATGGTAAGTCCTACCGATATATCTGAAACCCAGACTCCAACAGAATTTCGGTAGAATGAGCAACCCAAAAGCTTCCCGTCATGGATACAGAGATCACCAAGTGTTGTCCATCCCATATTAACAGCATCATGACATATAACAGGTTCCCATGAAAATACCTACAATATATGAGCATAAATATGATATCTTTATCCTGTTTGAGTTGTTCATTATTATAATCTAATTATTGAACCATACAACTTGTACCTTCAAACTATCCTCAAGTCCAGCAAATAGGGTCCGTCCATCAGGGTGAAAAGCTATTGAGCGTACCCCTGCAACCTAATAATAATAATTTATACTTATTAAATTCACTTTATTATATAAATTTATACTTACATTTGTGGAAAAAAATGTACACGTTTACATTAGAAGAAAGAAATAAATGTTCATGAAAATGTAATAACTTCTACGGACAGTTTAACATGCTACAAAGGTAACTAAGCAACATCACAATATTTGAATTAAAACACAAAACATATTAACATCTTATACATCTGTATGATTAAAAAGGCAAGATACACTAGAAATTTTAAGTTATAGAAAAATATTAACCTTGAAGAATATAGAAAATGGAGAAATACTCTAGGCCAACATTAAACTATTTTTTTTTTTAATTGAAAGAATCATCCACAACTAACTACAATGTGATGGAAAACTGGTAATAAATAACAAGTTTCAAGAATGATGGTCCATTATAAAAGTTACCTAAGAGTTTCCATGGAAGCTAGTAGTGATATAAAACTGGCCTAGATGCGTTGCAATCCAATTGATAAAAGGCATATATGCAAGTAGAATTTATGGTATATAAATGGACATAATTGATTCCTATCAAAAAGAACAAGAGAGATTTAGCAATTTTAGATACCTCATGTCTGGTAGAACCAATCAGTTCAAAGGTTTCTAAATCCCAAAATTTCACTGTTCTGTCTGCTGAACCTGCAAAACAATTTGTGAATTTTTATTTTTTGCTGAATAACAATTTATGAACTTTAATTAATAACTCAAGCATAACTACTTTGACTGACATTAGAGCTTCCATCCTTTGGGGGGTCAAGTCATAATTCAATGAACCAAGACAAACATAAATTTATGTATAAATTTCAAATCCAAATACATTCTGTAGAACGGATTATGTGAATGAAATTTTACATAATTTCAGAAGCAGTGATACTGATAAATGACATTGATAGTACAGCAATGGAGAGAATGGAAGCATAGTAATAGTTGTGGCAGCAAAGCCAGCTCCTTGTCAATAGTGATTGTGGTTGTTGTGGCTATGTGCATGTTTGGATAAGTCCTGCAAGATTATTTTTCAGTAGAATGTAGTGCTGAGGAAATAATTTAGAAAGAATTGCCTTTTGAAGGATGAGGTTTATGCTTTGGAATGTTCATCCTATAGTAATTTTGTAAGGAGTTTTTTTGGATAGGGTAAGTAAGATTACTTTTGGATGTAAAATTACTAAAATACAAGTATTGCTTTATGTTTTGTGTAAATATATGTAATAGCCAATACGGCGGTAATGTAAATTACACGCAAAATGAAAATTTCCTAGAATGCATTCTAGGCAAAAGTAAAGTTTTGTTTGTTTTTTCCCCAAAATGCAGCCTGGATGCTAGAATGCATCTTGGCTTATTAGCCAAACATGATTTGAGACTGCTTGCAAAGAATTATAGGGGCCAGAATGCATTCTAGATAATTCCTAATTGAGTTTTTGCTGGAACATGCTTACATGTCTCCTAGGTCCCTATACAAATGCAGCATTATAGTAATGTTGCATAAGTTTTTCATTGAGTTTGACCAACTATATAACACTAATAAAATTTCATTTGGTGCACTAGCAATGACATTATAATTATGAAACAAGCAATCTCTAGCATCTACTACTCTAAACTGCGCCAAGGTGCACTAACTCACCTGTAGCCAGAAGAAACTCAAGAGGATGAAAATCTAGGGACCTAATGTGTCCTTCATGGAACTTGAAGTCATGCAAGAGCTTTCCACCTGTTAGATCCCAGACCTGTACATTGGTAAGTTAGATCCACAATTTATTCATAGAACAATTTACACCACAACAAACTCCATACTATTACCTTCACAACACTATCAAATCCACCGGAAACAACCCAACGGCCATCTGGAGTGAATTTGATTGTGCTGATGCCCTGACTATGACCCTTGTATGTATGAACACATCCTTTTTTTCGGATATCCCAAATCTTTAGATTAGTATCCAAGGAGCCAGATGCACAAAACTCACCGAACGGATGAAACTCAACAGCAGAACAATTAGATCTGTGTCCAGTAATAGTGTGAACCTCTATACTTCAAGAAAAATAGCAGATATATTAGGGCCATATTGATAAATTTCCAAATGCACTCAACCAATCAAGAAGATTTATTTGGAACTTACAATGGTCCTCCTAGATACCCTTATAATCTCATGCAAGAAAAGTAGATATCATAATCAATTCTTAGGTCAAATAATTATCTAAGTTTATGATCAGCAAGATTGCACTTCTTTAGCTTAAAAGTCTAATGCTCTATAAATAACACCATTGTATATTATACAGCCTGTGACTTCAGAATATACTCATTAATAACTTACTCTTTGCTTCTTCCAAATTCCAAAGATTTATTACCCCTGATGATGCTCCAGCTAGAACCAACACTTCTGCTGAGTCAAAAGCCACGGATTCTACTGGACCAGTATGACCACACAGGCTCTGCATAGATTTACAGTAAGACAGCATAGTTAGGTTCAAAGTTCCACATGGCTCTGCTGCCATCAAAAGAAAGTCAAACCTGTGTCAAAATGGAACCCAATCAAAGAAAAAAGTACAGACAATATGTTATTATAATCTAAGAATGGTAGAATTTTTTTTGGATTTGAGTCTCAACCTTCTTTTTATTCAAGGACTGCAAAATAAAGAAAATAATTGTGTTGGAATCACCAGGCAAGAGGTAGCAGCGCAAGGCTAGATAACTACCATGAAACCTATGGGGATTGTCCAAAACTAATAGAAATTAAACCTAGCATTTCCAGATTTCAAGGTCCTTATATTTTCAGGCTTGAAGGTTGGTTTATTCTCAAGAAGGTTTTGCACTTTTTGCTGCTTGTGTGTTTGAGCTCATATGCAGCTCAGTGCATATTCATATTGGTTTGATTCAAATATTCCATTTTCAACTTTGAAGTTGGTTATGTGATCAAAAAGCAGTTTTGGCATCTGAGTCTGTTGGATTAATGGTCATCCAATTGGCTCTTAAGGAAAGTAGCTGTTTGGGTGAAAAGGCAATTTTGGCATCTTGGAATGTTGCTCCTTTGGCATCCGGGTGTGTTGATTGCGCCAACCGTGCTGATGAAATCTCACTGCGTTGCGCCAACACAGTTGGAACAATCCCACATGGCCACACAATCCCTGAATCCCACAAAATGTGGGGCATCCAGGAAAAAAATGATGTATGTTGGCAAGTAGTTTGAAAAGTTCTTAATTTTGGTAAATAATTTGTTTAGTTGCATTGTTTGAGTGAAAAATCCTGCTTCTTCTGCATTATCATTATATATCATGCCAGATTAAGTCCAAATCTAAACATCATTTAATATGATCCCAAAGCAAGTCCTTCAGTCACTAGCAATACCATAAATCCTTCAGTCTCAAGCATCACAATAACATAATGGCAACTTAGTGCACTTAAGAAATAGACCTTTCTTAACTGCCTAAAGATCCTGAAGTAGCCATATTGCAACCAAAATGATAGAAAAACAAAGGCAACAATGAAACTGACCATTAAAGAAGTTGGTTTCCCAATCGTCCATAGATTGACATTGTGATCATCCCCTCCTGTAATGAAAAGGCGGCACGCCTTCCTTCCAACTTTTAAACAATTCACATTCCCTGAATGTGCCACAAATTCCTCTACAGTTCATTGGCTCAGGAAAGCACATTATCAAAACAACCCAACATCTACACTCCACAGAGTTGATTACAAACTAACTCATACTGAAAAGAAAAGAAAACTACAGTCGAAGACCCCAATAAATTAAAAAACCAGCATTTGAGGCTTAACCAGAAAATTCTATTCCTTAAGATATCTTTTTTCTTGCTGAATACTTCAGCTTATCTAAAGCAAACCAAAAAAATCAAGCAACACGAATATCAAAAACTGCAACTTGAAAGTTTCCATTAACCTCAGTAACAATTCCTCAGCCACTAAACGGAGAAATAAGGCCTAAAAAATTTGAACTTTCCCCCATTACTTTCAATTTTCTCATGAGCTTCCAACATTTGCATCAATTTTTTTTTTCTTTTTCTTTTACCAGAAAGCAAACAAAGCACAAATCCTAAACCCCACAGCTTGCCCCCTCCAAAAACGGAAAAACCAAAAAGATGAACCACAAAAAATAAAAAAATAAAAAATGGAAACTGAAACAATACCACTCACCCAGATATCAATAGAAACTCAACTACTAGTAACAATAATCTTAATGTGGGAAACCAAAACTATTTCCAGAGACAGAAAAATTAATTAAAAAATAGAAAAAGGATACGTAGTTTGTATCCTGGCTTTGCCATAACTGAAAAGAAGCTTGTGGAGCAGAAATGAAGCAATTGAGGAATTGGGTGCACTTCAAATATAGTTGCTGTTGCTGCTTCACAAGCATAGGATAAACCAAAGGACAACGTAGGAATTGGATTTTGATGTTTCAGTTTCAGATGGGAACTGCTCTCAACAACTCAACAAACAACAAAACAACAAAGAAGAATGCTCATTCAACAGTCAAAAAGAAACTGTTTTTTTGTTATTATTATTTAATATTTATTTATTTATTTTGTCAACTTTTTTATTTTCTGTGGGGAGCACGTCGCAGAGAAGAAAAAAAAAAAAAGCTTGACACTTGAACGCAGATTTTACTTCAGACAAATGTTTTGTTCGGACCAAAATGCCCTTCGATTGTTGCGGTTGCCATTGTTAATTTACCTAAAGCCCCTCTCTCTTGCATTGGAAATATTATATTTATAATTTTTTTTTTTTACAAACTACATTCGTATGGGAGAATACTAGGTTATACTGTGTTCTTTCTCCTGGAAGAACATAGTGTATTTATAAAAAAATTATAAACGGATTCTTCTCCATATATATATATATATATATAAAATATTTTTTCATATTGCATAAGAATTCAATTATCATGTTATGACTTTTCGATTTGTGTGTAAATTTTTTTTTTAATAAATGTGGGTCTCACCACTAGTTGAGTCACAACATGAGAATTCAATTCTCATGCAACATGAGAAAATCAAACCCTATATATATATATATATATGGTAAAATCATTTCGTTTTACGTACAACAACAACATGTGTATGGTTATGATTCCCTACATTTAATGCTTTCATCATTTGTATGATTATGATTCCCTACATTTAATGATTTCAAATATATATATATATGGCAAGTATTTGATTGTTGCATGTACTGTAGCTGCAGAAATGTAAATCTATATATACGAGGCAGGATATTTTGACACCAGTGTCAAATTTTAAATTTGACACCTCATCTGATAGTCGTTAGATTAAAAAAGATCAATAGTGTCACATGCTTGCAAATCAGAGTCGTTAATCTTTTTTGATCTAACGACTCTCAGATGAGGAGTCAAATTTAAAATTTGACACTGGTGTCAAAGAATCCTACCTATATATATATATATATATATATATATATATATATATGATGCAATGAATTTGTACTAAAAGGATTATAAGTTATACGAATTAATATGATTGGTTAGATACGTATAATAAGTATGGATAATTACTTCTAAAACTACTTTTTTATCCTATATCTTGTTATGAATATTATCCTTTATTTGTCAATTTCATGAAGAAAAAAACTTCGAATAAATAGTACTATTGAAAAAAAAAGTTGTTGAGAGTGGAAAAAGAAGTATGTTTTATAGGTTTCATAAGGCTATGCTTTTAATTAATACTCACATCATATTAGTTTTATGACGTAAATTGATAAATTACATGATAAAGAGTAATAAATTTCAATAAATAGTTATTAAATTTTGATATGAATCCAACACGTACCTTTCTAAGCTTAAAAATATGAGAGATGTTATTTCACACCAAATAATGTTTGCAGAACACTTTACTAACGTGCTGATTTAAAACCCTGAATTCGTAAAATTATAATATATTTGTTTTAACTTAAAAATTATTAAATTAAAATTACTTACATCTTATTAATATTTTATGTACTTGTTGAGTTGTAATTCATATTTTTTTCAATGGAAGTAAACTTCAATTTTTGTATTTTATATTTATTAAGAAATACTAATTGAATTAACTAATGCATATGAATGACGGATATTTCTCATTATCTACGCCTACCTATTCTTTTGATATTTAATTACTCATGTATTTCTAAGTGGAGAGTAATCATTAAATAAAATTGGTATCCGAAAAAGAAAACCATTAAATAAAATTCTTTGAAAATAACGTTTTCAAAATCTAAAGCCTCGATATTACATGCATAGTATATGAAACTTTATTTTCTTTGCTGCTAATTATTATTAGATATACATACCTAATTCAAGGGGTCATTGAAAAACAATTGTCATAAGCATTTGATGGGAATATAAGGTAAGAAAACGACTTGTCAATTAAACCATGGGAGATTCCTTATAACATAACCCTCTTTCGTCAGCTTTAATTTTTCATTATTTGTGGGGAAACTTAGAAAGTGATGTACACACCCTACACTTTATTTTCATTGAATTATTTGATAGGCATGTATCAACTGCTTTAAAACAGTTCGGAAACAGCACAAAACTATGTAGCTTTGGAATAATAATAATGACACACAATTTAACCATGAAGTACTTAAAGTTCCCATACACATACGAGTAAGAATTATGCTAAAGTTTTTCAGAAGCTCATGGGAATGGATCTTCTAATGTAGAAAAATGGTTATGTGATTATATTATTTGATCACAATCACTCATTGATGATGAGATAAGATAGAGAAAAATGTATAATTTTTAAATGAGTAATTGTGATCAAATAACATGATCACATAATCACTTTTCACATGAGAGGATTCATTCTCATAGCTCATACCTAATATTTATATGTGATAGAATATTATGTCTATTTTTTTATGTCTATTGTATCTACTCCTTTCCAACTGATTTTCATCCTTTTTCTCTCCTCTTGAAATTGTAATATGATGGTATTAAAAAATAGTAAGTAAAGTAGGTATAAAAAAAGTAGGCATAATATGATATCCTTATTTATATTGCATTAAATACATGCACAAGTTTATTTTATGAAACAAATAGAATAAAATTCTATATAAAGATTTGCCAAATTTTAAATGTAAATAATTTAATAGTTCACTTCCATTTTTTAAAATGTAACTATCATGGTCTCCCAGGTCTACCATGATTATTTTCCCAGTAAATGAACTTAACGAAACTAAATAGGATTAATAATAGAAATGACATACTTGAATTGATGCTTGAGTTGATTATGATGAGTATTTGAGTTATGATAATCATCAACGAAATATCATGATTGATGCTTGATTGAGTTATGACTATTCTTATTGTGTTTTCAATTGGGATACCAACTTTTGCTGAATATTTATGTTTGTGTGATGCAATGATCCTTTGGAGGAGAAGAGACCCTCATTAAAGTAGGTTGCAAAGATTGAGGCTAGCAGTGAGGATAACAACTTAGACATTTCAAGCTAGTCCTAAATATTACAATTTTATGCTTGGGATTTAATAAATTTATAAGACATATTTTAAGATAAACCTTAGACTCTGAATTTATATTTTGAAGTTTTAAATATTTACATTGAATATATTTTGGTATAAGAGTATGGTAAAATTAGCATTGCACTTGTCTCTATTACATATACAACGGTAACATTTTTTCAAATTGATTTTAGATTAGCTTCTGCAATATTTATGATATCCTAATAAATAATTAAATGTGAATTTCAGCAAATTCTGTTGTTATAAGAATATTTTAATTTTGTTAGAAATTTAGGGGTATTACATTGATAGTATAAGGATTATTAATTTTATATTCTCCTAATAATCTTTGTATCACTTAAAAATTATTATTTGTTAAGATTTCAATACATTAAATACTGCTATATTTTTATTTAATATGTATTTTGTTATACATTAATATTTATTTTTAAGTAATTGTGAGACTGTGAAACATATTAAAAGATAGGGGAAGTTTCATTTTCACCTCTTATAGTTTATTGGTGTATCACTAAACTCCTTATGATTTTAAATTTATCACTTGTAACCATTGTAGTTAAATAATTTATCATTTAACTCCCTAGTGATTTGTGATTTTAAACTTTCAATCACACTCACGGTGGTTAATTTAAACCCTTTTGATTTGTGATCTCAAACTTTCACTCACACTCATGATAGTTACAAAAATATATTCATTAGATGCCTTGTGGTCTTATAAATAAAAAATCTTTTATTTTCTAATTTTTTTAATATAATTATGATATTATCAAACAAACTTTTAATAAAATTAATCATTAGATATTAAATTAAAATAATAAAATGAATTATTTAAAAATCTTCTTAATACTTTTATTTATTTAAAAAGTATATTTAAAAATTAAAATACTATTTAAGATAAATAAAAGATGTATTATCTAAATAAAAAAATTTAATTTTTTTATGCAATATTATAAAGATATCAGATAAGGAAATAGATGAAATAAAATAATATTTGACTTAAATTTATTTTCAAGATAAAAAAAATAAATATTTTAAATTTTATTATAATTTATTTGGATTAAATGCATATTTTTTATTCTCTTAAATATGATTTTATTATTCTTAAATAATTTTTAAATAAATTATCAATTTTACCATAATATTAATTAAATAATATAATATTTTTTTAATTTCATTCATAATAATTATTTTTATTATAGTTTTAATTGGTACCATTATACTTTTCTTTGATACATTATTGATACCATTATACTAATATAGAATAAAAAATAATTTTTTTTACATTCACGAGATCATAAGAATCCAATTAATATTATTAATTAAATTAAATTTTAGAATTAATAAAAAATATAAATTTAAAGTAATTATATATATATAGGACTTATCATTTCTCAAGCTGCTTGAGATAACTTTATCTCCGGCTACTAAATCATATCCGTACAAAGATAGATCAATGGTGATAAAGGAAGAGAGAAAAAGAGAATCATAATCGTTCAAAGATGAATCAATTAATATAAAAAAATAAATAAATCAAACGACGTAGTTTTGGAGTGACAGAAGATAAATATATTTCAACTAGCTTGAGAAATATTTTTCTCATATATATATATATATATATATTATATTAAAATTCTAATTTAAATTTAAATAAAATTTTAATATAATACTTTTTATATCGTAATAATTTTTTGATTTTCAGTATAATAAATAAATAATTTAGATTTATGGTTACATGCTTAATTTTTTTAAGATATTGTTTAAAATAATTTGTAAAAATTTAATTTTTATTTTAATCTTTAAGATTTAATTTTATTATAATTATAATTTATAATATAA